GGGCAGTGTAAGGGCCGCGGCGGGGTCGGGGCCGAGAGGCGCTCTCCTTCCCCCTGTCTCCTCGGGAAGTGGAAAACGCGGTGGTGAAGGACCCTCGAGGCCTCACTTGTGTCATTTTCAGAAGCCAGGCTGGGGGGTGTTTGTTAAAACTGAGAAGAGCTGGAGTTTCTACAGTTCCTGAGGAAAATAAGTCGTTGCTTTTCTCGGTTCCCTCATAGGCTGAACTGAGTCCGTGCTGTGGGCAGTGATTAAATGTCTAAATTGTCTGCACAATTCCTGCTCAGATGTTTGTAGAATTGAGAACAATGGTGCTATTGACCACGTTCATGACTTTTTGTAAAATTTGGAGCTATTCAGGGGCCACCGTTTCCTGTGCAGCTCGTGCGTGCACAGCTGCACCTCCTCTGCCTCAGCTGTGCCAGGAGTGAAGGGGAGCAGAGGGGCACCCCGCAGCTGCAGGCTTGCTCATGGAGGGTTCTGCGTGTTATGGGGGAACAGCAAACAAACCGCGGCAGGGCTGTGTGCAGTGCTGGATGTGGCCGGTTTCCTGGCAGGTCTGTTTTTCTTTTGCAATCAGTTGAGGGGCTATAAAGAGTTTGAACGTTGAACTTCTGTTTTAGCAGCTATCAATACGCTTGAGCAAACTTTCATAAGACCGATCGCACACAGCATCTGGATTAATGAGGGATTCTTGGAGTTGTGGCTGAGTACTGCCTTAGCCTACTGACATCAGAGAGAAATGCACGCTAACGTGGTCGAGGCTTACGTAATGTTTGGTTGTGTCAGAATGATTAAAGATACTAGATCTTAGCTAGCAGAAGACGAGGGCGGGAATCTGGTTTTGGTTTTTGGTTATCTTCTTAATTGCACTTTTTACCCTTTCAGATAACAAGCTACTAGAGAAGTCCGACCTTCATGCAGTGCTGGCCGATAAGCTTCAAGCAGAAAAATATGACATGCAGAGCAGACATGAGATCAGGTATTTAAAATTCCTTTTCTGTCAGTCAGCTGTCTGTCATGCATGCTGTAACCTAAACCATTGTTTGATGCATTGCACAAACAACTTTTAGGTTATTACAGTAACTTGGAATAAAACAAATTGGAAATCTAAATAAATAAAATAAATTATAACTAACTCTAAACACGTGATAAAGTTACAATATATTTACAGTATACACTGCAGAAAGATCTGACCAAGTTTTGGACAGAAATTAATTTACCACAAACTCAGGGTGTGGAGGTGGACCAGTATAAGCTTCTGCTTCTGATATGTTTGCCTTGTAATGCTTGTAACATTTGCCTGGTGTTAGTTCCTGATGATCACGATATGGCTCTTGAAATTGTTCGATCTTATAAGCGTTGCAGTGCAGGGAGAAATCGACATCTTCGTTTCTTTTAATCTGTGTTATCACGTAGAAGGGGAGAATGGAGAAAATAATGATTGTGAAGTGTCAGTCCTAAATAAGCACCGTAGCTGAAAAGAATGTGTCTTCTGCCTGCTTTTAGCAGGAGTTTTTTCAGGAAACTTTCTCTCTAACCTTAGAATAGCACTCTGGTGGCACAGCCAGGGTTCATGCTGCTTGTTCTGTTGGCATTTGAATCCACAGCAAACTGCTATGCTAATAGTGTGTCCTTTGTCTGGACAGCACCTAAATCGAAGCGGGTAAATGTTGAGTTCTGCTCTTGGTGTAACTGAAGAAAAGACAGGGCTAAACAGCTCAGGCTTCCTGCTTCTGTAGGAATTGCTTCCTCTGTTGAAGCTCTTTTTGCTATATAATGCAAAACTGTACGTGTCTGTCTAATTGGGATACAAACCAAATAAATATTGTTAAGGCTATCGTGTGCTTTTACTAGTAAGGAAAGAAGAACTCCTGATTTTACAGGATTTGCAGGCAAAATGTCAGCGTTTGGCCAGGAGATTGGAGTTAACACCCATGTGAGAGTTCTCAAAAGCTTTCTGATGACTGCAGTTGCCTTGAACCATCATCAGTTCACGGGAATTTGATTCTGATTGAACACCCACTCTAAGAGATGAGGCTGGAGTAGATGAGGATGAGAAGAAACGCACAGAAACAGCATCATAATAAGTAGTAAAGCAGAACTTTGGTATTGTCCTCAGTACAGGACAGTTTTTTGAAACAAAATGAATTCACTAATCCTAGATAGCTGAGGAAAAAATGCTTTTGTTTACCTTAAGGCAAAGAAGGAGGATCTAGTTCTAGCTATAGGTTTATGCATGGCCAGAGTTGTAGGATGTGTTGGATGTCACCACAGGACTGGGCTTCTGTCTGTTTGGACACAGGTTTTTGGAAATGCAGTGTCTTCTAGTGCAGCGTTAGTTCAGTGAGGTGTTGTTCGTTTGTTTGTTTTTGAGAAGAGCATTAGGTTACTGATATTGCGGTGAGACCTTTCAACTTCTAAATGCATTATCTATTTCCCACTGCACTGTTATAACACAGAATGACTGCAGAAACAGGTGCTTGTAATTACCTTGTTCTGTTTGTCTGGTATAATAGGGATGAACTTAAAAACCATTATTTTTAAAAGCTATAGTTTAAAATACAGCTGCTAGCTTGCTCAAAGTCTGTGTGTGAGACACATATATATCTATATGCTTTCAAAAAACTGACTTCTGATCCTGTCTCTCTGCTTTCAGAGACATGGTTTATAAATGTTACAATTGTAGTTGTTTGGGGGTGATACGTGTGTTCTTGTGGTGTGTAGAAATTCCAGCTTATGCCACGGTACCACTGTGTTGTAAAATACAATTAAAAACTACCCCAAAACCTTTACACAATAAGAGACTAGAACGTAGTTAAGACAATGGAGGAGTGACTTGTAACTTGTATAGTCCTTTGGGACTATAAACCCAAAGGCCCCTCAATTCCCTGGCTTTTAGTTCCGCGCCCTGAATTATGCTCTGTCCAGACGTCTGGTATTTCCAAGGTCCACCAGCTCCCTCCAAAACAAATTTGAGGCTGTAAAATATTTGTAATTCTTCCAGAATTTGAAGAGTGCACTTTTAAGACTCAATTGTCTTCATACAAATTTAAGCCAAGGCTAGTCATCTTGCAATTGAGTTTGAATTCTGTTTTAAAAATGCACAAAAAGGTGAATCGAATCCTCAGTACATTTAATTTTCCAGTACTACATAATGGTGTTTTGGTTGGTGAGAGGTGTGTTGTGGGGGAGCTGGCTGTGGTTTAGTTCGTTAGGAGTGACCTGTGTCTCTGATGTAGTATACAAAATCCAAGGGAGGTATTGTCCTGAGTCTGTCAAAGGCACAGAAGCAGTTGGATTCTAGTTTGTGACATCTTTTCTTTCTCTTTCTCAAACTCCAGTCCAGGACATGATGGCACATGGAATGATGCTCAATTGCAGGAGCTGGCACAGCTGAAAATAAAGCATCAAGAGGAGCTGACAGAGCTGCATAAGAAACGTGGCGAGGTTAGAAAGTCCTCTCGTGTTCTGTATGGTCCCTTTGTGAACATGACCTTAATTTTCCCAAGCTTATTCATTGTCATTTTTTCCTCATTTCATGTACAGCCTTTTTAAGTCCCCATGTTGATGATTAATATAAACCAGAGGTGGTTGGTCTTTAAAACTGACTGCCAGGAGATAAGAGCTTCCACTGTCAGCGTAGCATGATTTTTAAGAAGTGCCTAATTTTGTGTTTCATGAATAGGTTTTTAACTTTATCTGCTAGAAGAGAAAGGAACTGATCTGGTTTAGAGCTGTGCATGACCACTAATTCTATGCTGAAAAGAGTTTGAATAGTGAGAGAATAGGTGGCTGTGTGTGGTTTCATTTCCTCTCTCGCTTTGCAGGAGCACTGCTATAAAAGAGTGGACAAAGAAAGCAAGCACAAGCAGAGGTTAAAAGTGCTCTGAAAAGGGAGTACTGGTTCTGCCATGCAGATGCAGTAGGGTGCCCAGGAATCCTGTAAGCTATGAGACTTGGGCCTGGAAGAGACGAAAAGCTGCTATCTTTTTTTTTTTTGTTTTGTTTTTTTTAAATTTTTTTTTTTTTCAATGAGATGATGTGGACACTTCATCGGCAGAATTGAGTTTTTAAAAACCATAGCAGTGGATTGAATGAGTCCAGGAGCTAGTACCTGAATGATACTACAGACTTTTATAGGGAGAAGGTGGGAGTGACCTGGAAAATGTTATTCTACTCCTTTAATCACACCTCACTGAAGTTGTGGAGAAGCTCCAATGTCAGTAATTCTGTGCTTTTCAGAGGAGACACCTTTCTACAGGAGGTGTGCACTGGCTAGTCGAAGCACTGAAAATTCCTTCTTTCCCCTCAACCTGGTATCCTAAGCCATACCCAGACAGGCACTCTTCTCAAAATTCAGTCCTCCTTCTCCCCAGGCAGCCGAGGCTCTGCACGCGTTGGGGCTTGCTGCTGCTCACTGACAGGTTAGCTGTGAGCTGGCAGCAGCAGCTCATTAGTGTTGGCCTCTGCCCCTCTATTTCCTGTGCGCTACAGAGGCTCCACCAGTAGCTTACTTTGTGGGAAAACTCTTTGTGAAACCTGTGTTTGCAATACGTGAGCTCCGTGTCTCCTGTAATGGCTGTCCTGGCCATAACAGGAAGATTTGTTGCTTGGTTGTTAGTGCTCATGTGTTGGTTTACTTACTTGGCAAGTTTTAGTTTCTCTATGGATTTTTTTCCACGACTTTAAACCCCAGAATTTTTTCCTAATATGCATTCTGTTTGATGTGACTTCATTCAAGAAATTTTTTTCAGGGAAAGGAGTGAGATATCAAAGGACAATGACTTTTTGACAACTTGTGTAAAGTAGATTCCCTGATTTAATGACCTATGTGATAGGGGAAGTAAACAGATCTGTATAGAAAACTGTGAAAGAAGACCTGAAAAGTATTCTTCCTGCTTGTGATGTTAGATGGGTCTGTACTTTCGCTGATTGCTGCTCGGTGTGTGTTATCTCTCTGGCATCCCTGCGTTTCGTAATGTAACTTTCTCCTCTCCCTAGTTGGCCCAGTCTGTAATTGATCTGAATAACCAAATGCAACAGAAGGACAAAGAGATGCAGATGAATGAAGCAAAGTAAGTAGGAACTGTTTCTGTGTGGCTGGTATGAGACCCAGGCTTCTGGTTGAGTTATTTATTAGTATTATAATGTGTTCTCTAACAGTCCTAACTGTGGGCTAAAAATTCCTTTGTTAGGCACTGTACGAATAGCACAATGGTGGATGGTATCGGTCCCAGCGGACATCCTCATTGTTTTGTGTATTTTGTTGCTGTTCCAGGATCGCAGAGTATTTGCAAAAGATCTCTGAATTGGAAACGGAGTGCCAGGAGTTGCGCAGCAAACTGCAAGATCTTGAGCGAGCTAATCAGACGCTGAAAGACGAGTATGATGCTCTCCAGATCACCTTCAATGCCTTGGAGGAGAAACTGAGGAAAACTACTGAAGACAACCAGGAACTGGTCTCGCGTTGGATGGCAGAGAAAGCACAAGAAGCCAATCGTTTGAATGCAGAAAATGAAAAGGATTCGAGGTGAGATTGGTGACCCCTATTTGATAAACTGCTTCCCAATATATTTTTGAATACTTAGGAGTGCATAGGATAAAACCAGATGCAGTTTTGATCTGAGATCTCTGTGTTCTTGCACAACACCATGAGAGTCCAGAACTTCATGTTCCTTCTTTTGGCCAACACAGACGGACACTTTGTGAAAACATTCCTGTCTTTTAAATGAATAAAACATGTTCTTTTGTTTCTTGAGCAACATTTAATTGTGGCCTAAAGATCATAAATCAGATAGAAACTGGATTTTTTTTTTTTCTGGTATTAGATTTGAACTTCTCTTGTTCGTATTGCATCTTGATACTACTCCTAGTTTTAACATTTTTTTGACTTAACCAATTGAAGTGTATTTTGCATTCATCTAAAAGGAGAAACTGCCACAAGACTGTACTACATATAATTTGCAAAAACAAATTGGTACTTTTTTTTCTCCTTTCAAAAGAATATTTTTTTATTCTTCTGAATAAAGCAGCTTGTTTGCCAGCTAACAATACTTGGAGACTAAGAGCTGTAAGACAAACCTCATAGTTGTCTCATAGTAATTGGCAGTTCTGCGTTACGTTTACTAACGTAATCATTATTTTTGCAAGTTCTTGCACTCCAAGCAAAACCACATTCGTATGGGTCATAAAGGACTACGGGTACACTTCACCATATTGCCTCGCTTAGTTGATCTTGTCCTTTGCTTTGTCCATGGTAAGAAAACTGCCTCTCCTGCACTGAGTGTCTTGAAAAGCAGGATAAAATTAGGGCAGTGGTCTGATATATTTATTTTATTTTTTCTAAAGTCTTATGAAGCCCATCAAAGCTGTGCAGGGTAAACTTTGGAAAGAAATTAAGGAAGTCGTCTTTTTAAAAAAAAAAAAAACAACCACCTTGTTTTCCTTTTCTTAGGAGACGACAAGCCAGGCTGCAGAAGGAGCTAGCAGAAGCTGCCAAAGAACCCCTGCCTGTTGAACCGTAAGCAGTCTTGATTTACAGAGTCTCCTTCGTGCCTCAGTTTTATGCAGATGCATGATAAATAGTGTCTTTGTTATTTCTAAATTTGGTGATGTAGAGGAGTGTTTAAATGTTGGTGTAAAGTCAGAAATGTACAGTAACTCTCCCTACTTGAACTTCAGAAGAAGGAGCGCTGTTGTGACTAAAAATGGATGCTCGGACTGAAAGTCCTAAGAATGGTTCATATGGTGAATATATATTCTTATCTCAGCATAAAAACATGTCTTATGTGGTACCTTTGGTTTTTAAAATAGTTCTGTAATCATGGAGCAATATAATCTTGAGATGTCTACGTTTTTAATTGTTAGACTACAGATAGCTATGATCAAGGATTTCCTGTAGAAACAGGTACTGAGTGAGTTAAGGTGGGTGAAAATATATTGATCACTTCCATACTGGGAGAGATTGATTCCATAGGGGAAAAAAAACACAGGTAGGTGTGGAGTTACTTTTCCTGGCAAGCCAGTGATAAAATATTTCTAGTCTCGTTCTTTGGCGCAGCAGCACATGGATATTCGCTGCCATATTTACTCCTGGGTGGTATTTAATCAGCTGACTGAAGTGGGCAGTTGATGATGTAGGTGCTTTGCACCAGGTTGATAAGATTATTGGCACTTGTGTTAGCCAAGTCCAGAACAACTACACCTGCTGCATTGTTACTGGAGACAGCTGAGACAGTCCTCAGAGCACAGTGCCAGAGGAGCATGCAGGCTTTTCCTTGATGTCTATGATCTGTGTATTAGCATCATGTAGTCACGTCAGGTCTCTGTGCTGGGTGGCCTTGCACATGATCAGTGTGTCTGATCTGGGAAGAGGATCCACGCAAAAGTCTCCTGTAGGTAGGAAGAGTGTGTGTGAGGAGGGTATGAGTGAACTTGTAGCACTGGGAAGGAAAATTGAAACTTCAATTAACAATACAACTAGTTAGCACAATTTGCTTTACTTTTTTTTTTTGAGAAGAAATGTTTAAATGCTTCCACTTAGCTTATTGAGGTGTGATTCTTGACAAGATTACTGCCGACCACTGTGTCACAGGCCAGTGGACAGTCCCAAGCTAGAGGCTCATCTTCCCAGCTTGTAAGAATAGTGATGTCCCTTTTGTTCATGTTATTTGATGTAAACGCACACGGATTATCTTAGAATATGAAACTCTCCAATAAATAATGTTGCACTAAGAGGGGAAACACATGTAATGCCTGTGGCCACTTTCCCTGTTAATTTTCTTCCTCTGTGAAACCCAAAGCAAGACCTTTCTGGCTTATTGCTGAGCTCAGAGGTAGCTGTAGCACCACAGCTTGAATATTTTGCTTCCTGTTGTGGTGGGGATGATGCTCTCAGTGTTTCATAAACAATTTGATATGAGACACCGAGGAGTTAAAAAGAAGCCTGGTTAAAATAAAAAAAAGAAAATCTATAAAATAATTGCTTCTGTAAATTACTCAAACTCTGCGTCACAGATGGTTTTGTTTCCTTCTTTTTGATTTTTGTAGTTTTAGAGGGTTTGTATTGTCTAAATGCACTGCTTACTGAAGGGGAAAATTGCAGCATTTCAAGGAGTGTGCCCTGGTGTTTATGTTCACTTCAAAAATACGTTAGCATGGAAAGTTTTCTTGCTATGTACAATTTTAATAGCTCAAACTTTAGGTTTTAAAAAAGAAATACCAGCAGAACTTGATAGTGTTTTATTGAAATATCAGCCTGATACTTTCAATCGGAGTATATATTTTCCATAGCCTTTTCGTATATACTGTTTTCCAAAATCTTAGAACTTAGAAGTGCAGCTATGTTCTGAAATGAGAGAGTAAATTAAATTCTTTTCCAGCTGAGTGTTAAATGATGGCAGGAATCCTACTTAAATGCTGAATTTTAACTTTCTGTTCAGTCAAATGGCATCAGTTTGATAGAGCGTGTTTAAAAATAGTTTGTCCTGCGAAATCAGCAGTGGAAGGAATTTCCTTCCATCATTGAAGGAAAAAATACTAGACTGTCAGAGCCCATGGTGACTAATGGGGAAAAACCTTTTGGTATTAGCTGAGTAGTTTAGCTGGATTAATTTATGGTATAGGTATTGGAACCTCACACTTGTGTTCAGTTGTACACCAACACCTTAATGAAGTGTACCAAAACATCCCTCATACTTACTGCTGTACTTCAGGTGCTGCTCCAGTATAGAAAATATCCGGATATCTTTGGTGTGGATGAAGAAGGAAAATTCAAACTCTTGTGCCTTTTTTAATACTTCCTTGTTTTTGGACAGCAAAAAAAGATGCTGTGAAAACAGGATATTACCTGTATTTGGGGTTGCAACAGCTCGTGTTTTTCTTGTGCTGTAACTCTTTCAGCAAACATAGATCAGTTGGTAGCAAAGTCTTGTTCAGGTCTGATAGGTCCTTATAATGTGGTATGTAGTGCTGCAAGCTGAAAGATGCCTGTAGTAAAGAGAATCTGGAAAGGATGCCTGTCAACATAATTAGGCGGGGTGAAGTCCAACCCTATTGTAAGTGAAGGGTGTAATTGGCATCTGGAAAGAAAAAACTGATATGTAGATGCTGCATGCACTTGTTTTCAGACATTATGTTGAACATAGTACCTGTAGCAATGACGGCTAGGTAAGTGTTTGTGTTGTCTGGACCTACCTACGTGTTCCTACAGCTAAGTAAACCTAGATGCGGGTTGGGTGCAGCCACCGACAGACCCTGGACCGGTGTTGTCCGTTCAGTTCATGTATGTCAGTGGGTGGTTTCCATAGGAAGCGCTGGCTGATTGAAAATGAGGTGTTTTCTCTCACTTCAGCAGGGATGATGATATTGAAGTACTTGCAGATGAAACCTCTGACACAGCTGAGGAGACATCTCCGGTGCGAACTGTCAGCCGAACATCCAGGTTTGTAGACTGAGAGATTTTTTTATCATGTCATTGAGGAAGAACAAGGGATATAAGAGTGGGAACAATTCTGGGAATGTTACTTAGTTTTTACTTGCCTTTAGCTGGAACACAGTTTAGTGTTTGCACTAGAGCAGTATGAAACTCATGTGCTGTCTTCTCTGTTACCATGCTCTACATATGCTCTGTTTTTCCTTTGCTGTTTTAAATGAATTAAACTAGTGTCTGAAAAATCTATGTCTAACCTTAAAAGCAAACAAACCTTTTAAACAAAGGTTTACAAGCAAAATAGACAATAAAATCAGTATATCTCCGTTACTGTACAATATGTCAAAGTGACTTTACAAATAGGTGCATTTTTTGATTTAGCTGAAAGGCTGAAAATATCTTCACGTAGATTAAATGCATCTTTTCCTTCCTCCAAAATAGCAGTGAGTGGAAAGTAAGAGATAGCTACATGAGAGCATGGATTAATTTGGTTGAAACTTTGGTCTTGGCAGAGTGTTATATCTAAAACCAGTAATTCACAGGGTGGAGGTTAAGGGAAATTGAAGAAACTTGGCTTGCAAATTATGTTGTGAGTTGTAGTTACTGGTGACTTTTGAACTGATGCCTGCCTCTGGTGTTTGCTGTCTTTGGACTGGGTCTGCAGGGGAGGGAGTCTTTCCAGAGACTTGTTGCTATGAAATGTGTTTGCATTGATCTTTATGTGGAGAAGCTATTTCCCAAGGTTTAAACCTGTCCTCCCCTCCTTCAGTAAGCGACTCTCCCAGCCAGCTGGAGGCCTTCTGGACTCTATCACTAATATCTTTGGGTAGGTTAGAACACTTTCACCTCTGTTTTGTATGTTGGTTTCAATGTACACCAAAGTCTTGGTGATGCAGGGAATACAAACAATAATTTCAGCCTTTCTTCTAGCTTCTGCCTTTCTTTTTTTTTCTTTTTTGTTCTCCTCAACTTCCTGTTTCTTCCATCTTGCCGTGTGCTGACCTCTGACCTTTCCCTCCAGTCTGTCTGAGTCTCCCCTTTTGGGACATCAATCTTCTGATGCTGCCAGGTGAAAACGTTATCCGCTCTTAGTTCAGCATGTTAATGTATTCCATTGAAGTAACACGGAACCCAGCTGCATTATCGTGATTAGATTTCGGATGTTGATAACGCTGGCTAGAAACTGTCTACAGTTAGAGAGGCAACAAGCCCCTCTTTGCAGAGAGAATACATGGGGTTTGCTCTTGCTTTCCACTGCACTTTGCTCCTTTAGTAGGGTTATTTAAAATAAGTCATTGGGTTCTGTGCTTAGTATCCAGAGCGGAGCCAGTCCTTTTAAGTCAAGCTCTACATTAGGTGGATGGTCTTTGCTTAAATGCTGTGGCCTGAGCTTTTGAATGGAGCATTTTGCTGCCTGGAATGTAATGCTACGGTGGTGTTGAGTCTCCCAAAGCATAATGATGGAGTTGCAGTCTCTCCAGCTGAACTCGGCTGCAATCACTCCCATGTTTCTCTTTCCTATTTAAAAAAAAAAAAGGTCCAAAATGAGGTCAGTAATCAGTTCAGATAACTTATTTGGCATACTATGATATACCTAAAGCCACAAGTGGCTGTAGTGCTGTATGACAAATGTAATTTTTGAAAGATGGGGTACAAGAAAGTTTAAAAACTCCTTCCCCTGTTTTTTTTAGTCACTGTACAGTATAGTTAAGTGACAAGAACTGATCTGGATGAACTCAAGAGCAACAGCATTCATTTCTCATTTTAAAATATTTCTACTTTGTTTCATCTCAGGAGGCGTTCTTTGTCCTCATTCCCTGCTCCCCAGGATAATGTAGAACCACATCCAGGTGCCAGTAAAGAAGTGAGAGTGCCCACTACTGCCATATGTGTCTTTGTAAGTATAGAAGGAATTCTCGGTTTTACCATTGCTTTTACTGTCTTTAGAGGAAGTGAATCCTATCTGTGTGAGAACTGATCTCCCAAAACTTTTTCTGTTAACATTGCCAAACAAGAAGGAATCCTTGATTTGGTGACATAGTTCATCTCATTTAATTCTTAGCCCAAATGCTTCTCAAAGCCGATGTGCTTGATGTCTGTCTTACTGAGGTCGATGATGTCTAGTAAAAGGTCTGAGGGCACAGGGGAATTGCACTCCATTACCCTCTTGGCTCCCAGCAGTCCCCGTTCTGTCATGCCATAGTAGAGCTATGATTGAGGAAGAGATTGCTGACAGTTTGGGATTAGTTCAGTTCCAGTTCTCCACAGTGCAGGGAGTTGTGGCACTGAATGTCATCCAACAAAACTGGTTAAGAGGAGCTCGTGGTAGTGGGGTGTCTTCATTTGTTGTGTGTGATCTAAAGTTTTCAAGCTGAGACCTCCTTTATGTGTTGTTTTGGGCTCACAAGGCCAAACTTCAATTTCCATGAAGGGTTTTGCCTTCTGACTGAAAAGTACTGTGGTAAATTTTCTTGTGATGCAGCTACTGGTTTTAACGTTCCTCTTGAGCTTTCTCAGGCACTTCAGTTCTGAATATGGATATCTCATGGATATGAAATGACTTATATTTTTCATTCTGAGTAGTAGAGTGGCTCACTGCAGCACGAAGGCTTGTGTATTCCTAGTGTGCCCTGTTACCATCTTTGCTAGTGAAAGTCATGGGGTGGAGGGAGTTGCAACGTTGCTAAGTGAAAATAGGGTCATAACACAAGCGATAGCCTGGAGCTGGGTAGAATAGGGAGCATCAGAGGAGGTGTTCGTGGCTTCAGTGCATGTTGCAACCTCCATCCTCCTCTAGCTATGTACAGCAAGCACAGTTGATCAACAGATGTAGGCTAGTTTAATCATAAAGGGTATTACGACACTATTTATGTGAGGTTTTCAAGAACCATGTGAAAGGTTTTGTTGTTTTCACCTTTCTCTTGATCTTCTGTAATGTCAACTGAAATTCCAAGAGCAGTGCAGCCTGTCTTCCCCATACAGGGGGGCAAACCACAGTAGGCTGTGCTGACCCCTGGTCTTGGCAACGTGGGCAATGCTGCTCCGTTCCAATTCCGCATCTCACAGCAGGAGTAGGAACAGCTGCACTAGTAAGCCTGTCAGACTGTGGCACTATGGAGGTGATGTATGGGTAGCACTGCAACATTAGAAGGAAAAAGTCCCTACTTATTTCATGGGAATCCGTATGTTCCTTCTGGAGATGATCTGTGTTATGTTTTAGCTCATATTTGGAGCCCAGGCAGAGTGAGAACGTGTCCAGCTCCAGCAGACCATTCCAGGAATGAAAGCAAGCACTCTGCCGGAGTTTTGGCAGATACAGGGAGTGGTCCAGGCTTGCTTCTGGAGAGATCAGTAGAACAGACTTGGGAAGGAGAAGGTAGTCACTTCAGCCATCATTCTCAGACTTAGTTTCTAGGCGAGAACTTTGATTAGTTTTGTTCTGAATGGCTCTGTACTCCTAGAAAGATCAGATTTGAAGTGTGATGACCACTAAGTATGAGCTGGCAGACATGGTTCAAGCAACAAGTTCCATAAAAATACAAGTTCCCAGGAAAACTGATTTTGAAAGAGCAGTTGTTGAAAATATTTGAAAAGGAATGCAGCAAATGAATTAAGAATGTGGTACGAATACTGTGTGAGTGACCAGTATAAAGCTGTGAAATTAACAGGGGGAATAAAAGAAAGGAATCGTAAAACTCTCATAGGTGTTAAAAGGTTAGGAATCACTATTAAGTAGCCAACTCAAGCTTTGAAACATTCAGCTGTGAGAAAGCAGGGGTGTCACTGCACCTGCAGGTAGGAACCACAGCTTAAGCCCAAGTTTTGTGAGAGAAGGTGCTGTTCCAAGTCAACTGTGATGGTACTACTTAATCACCAATATACAGTAGCGTTATTACCAGTAAATGAATGCAGTTAATCTATGCTAATTCCATTTTGGGTGGCTATTCTGTTCCTCCCACTCCTCAGGACGCACACGATGGGGAGGTGAATGCAGTGCAGTTCAGCCCTGGCTCCCGGTTACTAGCAACAGGAGGCATGGACCGGAGGGTCAAGCTTTGGGAAGTCTTAGGAGGTAAACTTTTTTGCTTTGGGGTATGGTGGGATGGTAAACAAGATCATACTATAGTTCACTTTAACAGCTTCTGTTCTAATCCATTGCTTAAGTGGTGTTTTTTTGTCTTTCTCTGTGCAGATAGATGTGAGCCCAAAGGTTCCCTCTCTGGTAGTAATGCTGGGATTACAAGCATAGAATTTGATAGTGCTGTGAGTATCTGTGCAATATCCATTGTTTTGATCAGGAATAAATTAATTGAATTATGTTGTGATCTGCTATCGATTTCCATTCCAACACTTTGAAAAATTACCCAAAAAATGAGTTAAAATACTTACGAGAGTAACTGCAAATACTTAAAAATTGTAGAAAAGATCTTTATTTGATACACTACAGTCTGTAATTCTCATCTTTGCTTTACGATTCAGAAGGCGATACGCAGCTCTGACATTGGCTATTGTGATAAAATTACAGTCAGATACACTAGGCTCTGTCTAAAGTAAGAAATTAGTTTCCAGCTTCTCGCTAAATCTGGCATTAACAGCACAAAAGAAGCAAATACACTGAAGCTTTATTTCTGTGAAGTTTATTTCCCTAAGTGCTCTGCTGAGGTCTGTGATGAATAGTAAAAGGTCTGATTATCCTGAGACTTGTACTTCCATGACCTTTTCTCCCAGCAGTTTCTCACCAGTCACAGCGCAGTAATGGTGTGGCTGGCAGAGTGTTTGCTGACAGCTTGTGATGCATTCAATTCATGTTAACCTGAAGTGCTGGAGACATGACTGGGACCAGCATCCAACAGTCCTACTTGAAGGAGTTTGTGGTCTTGGATTGTTACAGCTGGACATATGATCTGACTTTTCTACTGAGACCTCTCCTGTAACACAATGCTTTACTACGTAGACAGTAGACCAAAGCTGACATGGTTTCTTCCATTTGCTGATTCCATGTGCTAAACTTTATCGATACACACGCAGAAGGATCCTTCCTTTGGACACTGACACATTAGAGATTTGCTGGTGCTATTAGTCTGCATGAGAAACTAGTTCTGATTTGGCAAGTTGCATGAACACATTTGAGGTGACACTTGCCTGAGGTGAGATGCAGATGAGCTTTAAGGCTTCAGGAAAGTCTTTTGTTGGACAGGAGTGCAAGCATGGATCTTATGGTGTCCATTCTCCATCATGGATGACTTGGAAGAGCCCTAAGCCTAAAGCCATGAACAAGTCCATTTATCTCTCCTTGGACAGATTTAGTTTTTGCAATCTTAGTTTGAAATGTTGGAATTGTAATGCAAATTGCAAGAATTGAGCTAATTCCACTCTGAGTCCACTCTGAGGCCTATCTAAACAGTGGGGGTAGATGATGCAGGGCTTCTTCCCTGTGAAAAATCAAACAAGAGTTTATAAAAACCCCAACACAATAGATGAAGGTGAACTAGAACCCGGTTCCTCACTACAGCAGGTGGGGGCCAAAGGGAAAGGACAATGTCCTTTCCGATCTGGTTATTGTTATTCCTTTTATCTGTAGTCATGATTCTTCAAATCACTGTCACATTTTGATGAGAGAAAAAAGCCTTAGCCTTGTTGAAAGTTATTACAATAGCTTTCCTTGCTGCTATGTGCAACTGGGTACTTGGCTTCAATTTTGTTTTGTTGTTTTTTTTTCCTCTTGGCAATACAGCACTAGTATGGTTTTAGTGATTTATTGGAAATATTTTTGAGTTTAATTTGCGTGTTGACTGGCAGAAGTAGTTTTAAATTAATCTTGTGTTCACAGGGTTCTTACCTCTTAGCAGCTTCAAATGACTTTGCCAGCAGAATCTGGACGGTCGATGACAATCGATTACGGGTGAGTCTCTTGACGGCAAAGCAGTGCTCAGGCTGTTTCTGTCCTGTATTTCCAGTTTTGTCTAATGGGGACACAGCAGTCTAGGAAGCTGCGCGTTTACAGACGCTTTCAATAGTTCTTTCTAACAGGATCTTTATTTCTCTTAAGGGTCTTCACAGCAAGACCTAAAATCCAGTATTGGTCTCTGCACAACCTTGCAGGAAACTCCAGTTACTGCATATTTTCGCAGTACAGCCCTCCTGCTAGCAACACCTTGCCACACATACCAAATAGGCTCTTGCATCTCCCTCTGTGGAAATTTAAATGCTTCTTATGGTTTGTGGAGAACCACTTCAATGTTTTAGCCTCAGTTCAAGGAGAGGACTGCTGTAGAAGTCAGAGGGATTTTTTGTTTTAAGTCAGGAGCAGCGTTCTTGAAAAGGAGTCCTTTGCCTTGCTGTTAAAGGCAGCAAGCCTAAAAGTGCTTGACTTTATTCTCCGTGTCTTTTGAAGGATTCCTTCTCTCTTCCCAACTCCTTTGTACTCATGTTCTTCTCCAAGATTTAGTTCTGGTTTAAAGAAGGATTCACCTTTGACCAAAAGAAAAATTTCTTTTCAGATTTTTAAGAGTTTTTTTTAATTGTCATTTCTATGTACACTTTTCCTCAACTTTTTGTTTTAGGAAGATGCTACTTTGTTTTGAATCGTCTAGCATTTCCCATGTCAGTTATAAACTACAGTTGCATTGTAATTCACTGGGTAGTTCTCAGCGTGGAGATGTCAGGTCTCATTTAGGAAAGTGAAGAATATCAGTTCTTTTGCAGCTTCTGTTTGGCTCCAAAACCTACTATTGGATGTGAATTATAGTGAATAAAAGTTTAGCAGACTATAGATTACTCACAACAAAAAGTTAGTTGTCCCTGCAAACATCCATCTGGCTTCACAGTATCTTCCCATAATTTTTTGGGTGACTACCAGCTTTAGGTGAGTGCATTCACTGTTCACTGAGATAAAATAGCGCATTCTCTATTTCGAGTGTGTGTGGTATGGATTTGTCATGGCTTGTACATGGAGGCAGTGAAGCTGAAATCACGGTAAATTTTGCCACAAACTCCCTTAAATGCAAATATCTGTATGTATGATTGTGCAGCAAGAGAGGAGAGAAATGCAGCGTGAAAGTTTAGATCCTCCTTTGTGGAGTTAATGTCCTTTCTTAAGACGAAATGGTCTTTATGGGATGATTCATTCTTTCAGAGTTTGTGTTGTATCAGGTTGGCTTTTTTCCCCAAACTTTGTTCCTGCTCCTTTCCATTCTTGAGGATTTTTCCGTTTGTATTTCCCAAGCCCAGATCGCTTTGTGTAATTGATAGTCCTTTGAGTATTTAAAAAAAATAAATCTGACTGTATACCAAAGACTTCTCTCTTGTTTTTCCACAATTCTTACTTCAGTCATTCATTATCTGTTTTGTGATTTAGTATGTAAATATTCAACAATTTTGAAGTGAATGTGGTTCATGTTGTTCTCAGCCCCGCAGAGCCGCCTCCTGCAGTTACAGAAACTGCTACAGGGAGTTTTTCTGAAATCTATGGTTGTCTCAGCTTTCAGACTTCGAAGATGTAATAACAGTTGAGAACTAGATACCTTGATGTATCCTTGAGAGAAGCTCATTATAAAAACCTGAAAGCACAATTTCCGTTTAACCCCTTCTCATCTCTCCTGCAAGGCTGTGTTGCAGTTGCCATCTGTCCATGACACGTAGGTGTATGGAGTGTTGAGGAAGAGAGCTCACAGATTCCCTGAGTAGCTAGAGGAACTGCAGCCAAAGGTGACCTGTGTCTCCCAGCCTCAGGCTGAACTCTGTGGTACTTAACACTTCTTCTCAGTGATAATCTCTATTTAACTATAATAGATTTTTTTTTTCTCTAAGTGATGCAGTAGACATACAAATTATGATTTAAAATTGTCTTTATTGTTAAATAGCAGAACCAGTAAGCCATGAGGAAAGCGAGCAAGTGAAACTGCAATTTTACCATATAAATCTCTCCTCAGCACACCCTGACAGGTCACAGCGGTAAAGTTCTGTCAGCCAAGTTCTTGCTGGACAATGCACGCATTGTTTCGGGAAGTCATGACCGGACCCTCAAGCTCTGGGACCTCCGCAGCAAAGTTTGTAAGGAAACCTAACCTCCTGTCTTTGGATCCATGTTCTGTGCCTCTATGAAATGTAAATGGAAGTCTGACGTCAGCCAAAGTGTTTCATCATCTTGCTAGCCTGAAAAAAAAGGCAAAATCTAGCAACCATCTTCTGTTGTTGCTCAAGTAATCAGACTCTTTCTGCCTGGTACCTGGAATAAGAAATCTTGTGTATGCAGGAAGCACTGTTAATGCTGTTAACAGCAGCTGTGTTCTGTGAGTTCTTTGTTTACCAGTTGAGGGGGTGGGTATTTCAGTCTTCCACTAAAAACTTGGAGCCATGTCAGAGTTTTTTAACCCTGAGATGGAATGGAAACGTCTCTTGGAAATGTACTAAAAATGTCAACATCTCAAGTGAAGGAAATGCCGGGATTCATTTTTTTCATTGGGAGAAACACCTTATTTCCTTGGCTTTTTTCCTGTTGGTGGCTCTTAAACCTGCTTGCTCTGAGAGAGAAGTCAAGGTTCAAGGTTACCTTGTTACCTGGACCGCAGACATAGGTCAAGGAGACAGTTTTGTGTTGTTTAACTAGCAAATTATAGCTGTCTAAATATGAAGTGGAAGTAAAGCAGCTGTCATGGGAGCATTTAAAGGGATATTAGGCACAGCAAAGGAGATTGAGAAGGGCAGAGAGGTTGTTGAAGACTTAAGTCAGGATTATTCCAAGACAGAGTTTGTCTGCCCTGTGGCACTCTATGGGCACTGCTCTGTGGCCACTGTGGGGGTTTGTGTGTGTGGTGTAGTGATTTGTTTTCTGTCTCTGTTTTCATCAGTTTGTACTGTATAAATTTCAGTGTGTCACCACTGGCTTATCCTTTTTAGGTATAAAAACAGTGTTTGCAGGATCAAGCTGCAATGACATCGTATGTACTGAGCAATGTGTAATGAGTGGACATTTTGATAAGAAAATTCGTTTCTGGGACATCAGGTAAAATTATTGTAAGAGAGCTTGTAGCACAGAAATGGTTATGGTATTGCTGTCTGAGTATAGTCAGAATGAGGGAACTTCCTGAGCTTGGAAGCTGATGAGACTGTTTTACGAGTTGCAGCAGGCCATTAGAAGAGACTTCTGCTGCTACTTTTATTAGTTTGGTTTTTTTGGGTTTGGGATTTTTTTTGGGATGCCTTTTATTTTTTTTTGAAAAGGCAGTCTGCTTTCTTGCAAGTATTTTGCATTGGTCAGTACTTGCCATTCTAGATCTTACTTAGTTTTTCAGAGGGTGGGGTTGTGAGGATAGTAGTATCTAACCATTGAGTGGAAATGTTATCCACAAAGTGAGATGTAGCTTGGAAAGAATCAAAATGTGAGAATAAACCAGTAATTCTTTTTCTCCTCTTCTTCCACAATGGGACAAGTTAAAGTTCTGATGCAGTGATTTGGCTTCTGGACTTTAGTTTACTCTTTTTTCTTCTTCTCTTTTTTTTTTCTTTTTTGTTCTGTCTTTAGGACTGAAAGTATAGTTAAAGAGCTGGAGCTGCTTGGAAGAATCACAGCTCTGGACCTGAACTCAGAGCGAACAGAGCTTTTGACCTGTTCCCGTGATGATCTACTAAAGATCATTGATCTGCGGGTTGGTGCTGTGAAGCAGACATTCAGGTGAGTGATCTCCTCAAGAACGTCATGAATTTCAGGACTTTGGATTGTGGATTATCCTCAGTGTGGGAGTGTTTTTCAGTATCCCCATGGAGAGAGCAATCTGCTAACTTTTTTTTTTCGTACATGGGTATTGAAATTCTCTAGAATCTTAACAACAAAAATCTACTCTACTGGATCTTTTGTTTACTTCTTTAAAGAAGATAGCTTCGCTTAGAAGTTTTTGACCTGAAGGAAAGGATTTCTTCAGATGTGATGGGGGGAGGATGTATGAGAGATACGAATCGTGGTGTTATTCTGAACCATGTAGCAATCCTTACCATGCTCTTTAGCGAGAACCTGAAAGTCCGTCTTCGTATAAATGAATTTACAATTATCTAATTGTAACTTTTCAGTGCCCAGGGATTCAAATGTGGCTCTGACTGGACGAGAGTTGTGTTCAGGTAAGGTCAGATGTAAGGAAGATACCTGATCTTTCCCCAGTGACAGTGAGTAATTTGTAGTTCTTGGCTGCGTTGTCCCCATTTACAGTTAGAAAAACTGAGGCAGAGTTTGTGATTTGCCCGTTACCTCTTGGTCAAGACAGAATATGTCTGTAGATGTTGATCCAATGTCTTGGAAACTTTCTGATTTCAAAGTGCTTTCTAACACATGACTTTTAAAAGACTATTTAATGCCAAGCTGCCTGCTTAGAAGTTGAAGGTGGAATGATGATTTGTGCCAATAAATTGCTGACTTGAAAATTGTTCTCTGCCTTCTGCACCTTCTCTGATCTCGTAGCCCTGATGGTAACTATGTGGCTGCTGGTTCAGCTGATGGGGCCCTTTACATTTGGAATGTGCTCACTGGGAAATTGGAGAGGACGCTTGCAAAGCATCACAGGTGAGGGGAAGCTGGCCATATACTCTGAAGCGGGAATCTGGGTTGTGAATCTGGCTGAGCTATGAAAGAATTGTAGTCACATAGCTTTGCAACTTACTTTGGTGTGTGAGAATTTTTAACACGCAGATTTTTTTCTGGATTTGTTGTGGTGTTCTCTAGATTGAATGAAGGCTAGGTTTGTTATTGTTCAACTTCTCAAGCTGAGGTATGATTCTAAAGAATTACATTGAATGTATTCTGAAGAAACTGTATCTCTCAGGCTTATTAAAAGCTGGAGTCTCCTGAGAGCTGAGAGCAAAAATGCTTGTTCTTTGATAGTTAAAGTACTATAATGTCTCATTCCAGTGTTAAGTGCTGTTGTGGAATTCAGCTTTTTTGTTTTTATAAACTTACACCTGGCTTCCGTTTCAGTTCTTCTATCAATGCAGTTGCGTGGTCACCAGCGGGTGCCCATGTGGTCAGTGTGGACAAAGGAAACAAGGCTGTCCTGTGGTCTGAATTTTGACTGGACGGAGGGTGAAAGGCAGAGCAGCCAGTGCCTCTGTGTGTGGTGGTGCTGGTCCGTTGCTGAACAGAATGGAGACCGGAGCCCAGATCCATCCTGAGCGGGGATACTAACAAGCGCATGGGCTTCACTTTCCAGAGGAAAGTTCTAAAGCAATGGTGAAGGAGCCTGAGTCAGAGACTTCTTGTGGCCATAACTGCACAATGGTACTCGGACTCAGCAAGGGATTAGCTGTTCTGGATGGAGAATGCTACTTAGTCATGCCTTTACATGCAGTATCTATGCACCAAGTGGAGCTGAAGATACTAGCGGGATTTCTCACCAGACAGCTGTGCCAAATACCCTGTCACACAAATGTATCTACAGCACTTCTGAGTTGGAAATCTTGGAAAGAAGTTACTGTGTATGCTGACATTATGCATGTCCTGTCTCCTGTGTTCTGTTCTTGTGGCCTAGTTCAGGCATGGGGTGAGAAGATCCTGAAATGTGGACAGGTCTTAGGCAGTCGGAAGTGTTGGAACAGCTTTTAAAGAGAGGCTCCTGTGGCTCTGGCAGCTCTGCTTTTGAGCTATCAGCTCGATTCTGATCCTGACGCAGGTTCTCCAGCAGTGTCATGTGAACTCTGTGTATGAGTTTCACCTGTCCTTAAGGAAATGGTCCGTTCTCCAGGACTTCTGCACCCTTTTGTTAAAATGCCCTTCAACAGCCCAGCCTGGATATCACAAAATAGGAGATTTTTAATCTTTATTCCACTGGCAGTTTGGTTACTGGGTGTGAGGAGAGAGAAGTTCAACTTCTGCTGTGCTGCTGTGATAAGGAATGTAGTCATACTGTGACTTCAGTACCAAAATATAGATGTTTGGTCCCTTTTTCTGTTCATCCGTCCTGTTCTGGCGGCTGTCAGTAGAACACAGGGGAGCAGTGGGCTTAAATCCCAAATCTGTTGTTTTGGTGCTGGCAATTCCAGGCCACTTGCCCCCTTCTTGAGCACACGTGCAATATTCCTGTTTGCGCTGGAGCCTTCTCTGTGCTTCGGAGCAGTGTCTTGGCTCTGTCCCTCTTGAAGCATCCAAAACCATGATGTGGCTGGGTGTGAGCTACCTGACATAACTATCCAGCCGGACCTTTCCACATCGTCTGGGCCTCAAGACAAGCCACCAGCGTTTTGTCGCCTTTTTATTTGCACTTTATTTTCTTCTTTCCTGATAATGTTTTACTAAGGAAGTGTGTTGTTTGGAGGGGCTGGATTAGAGGGCAGCTGCTACAACAGGCATCTCTCTAACCTAGCCTTTTGTTCAGACACTTTCTGCAGAGGGGAAATAGAGTATATGAGGCAAAGTTTTTTATTTATTCAGCTGCCCGTAAGAACTTGACTGTAAATAAACCTGTGTTCTGCTTTTAAAACCCCACAATGCTCTGATTCGTTTATTTGCGTGTCTGTGTGTGACATCTTGTTCTGAGTGAGTGAAGAGGGGAACCTGAGATGTGTTTTCCTGTGCTGTGTTTTCCTGATGAATTGTGGATTTGCGTTTATCCGCATTGTGGGATTTGGTGTAGAGGGGGAAAGAGGATAATGCTGTTAGCTTGAAGCTGGATGTCCTGCAGATACAGCCTGGTCTTGCCCTCTCTCAGGAGTACTGCCTTGAGACTGAAGGAAGTCTTGCCACGTTGAACAAGTGCCTCTGTCCTTGAAAGGTTGATGTATTCTTGGACGTTTTGGATAAATTATTGAATTGAGGAAATTAGTATCTGTATTTCAGACACTGCTGAAAATAGAAGGCTTTTTCTGCTGTGATACTTGGACTGCTACCTCGTTAAATTACTAAGCTAGTAGTAGGAGTTGCACATTTCTTTTAAAAAAAACACAAAACCAGTAGTTGAAGATGGTGCTCGGGTTGCTGCTTAAGAGTAATGAAGCAAAGTCTTCAGTTGTTTCATGTACACACATCACTGACCACCCTCCTGTTTTCGTAAGAAAATAGGCCTTCTGTCCAGCTCTTGGAAGTGAGAACTGCAGCAAAAATGAAAAGAGTCATGTGGGCGTTCCGAAGCGTTTCTAAAGGCAAGGTATTTTTTTCTTCTGCCTGTTGCTTGTGGCAGAAGGTCCTTGAAAAGGCACCCACCAAGAGTCCAGGCGACCTTGGTTGCTGCAGAAAAGCAGATCACTAAATGGCAAGTCAGCACGATGAAAGATTATTGGGAGATTAACGTAACAAAAACTGCAGGCTCTGCTGAGGCGGATCAGAATGGGTTTAGGGTGTTTATCATTTAGGCTGCTATACTTGTGTTTTTCTACAACGTGGACACAGGTTCTTACACAAAGGGCTTTGTTTTGCCTGTGGATGCTGTTACAAAGTAGGTTAATAATACTCGAGGGTGATAGCTAGCTAGCTGAGACAGTAAGCATTTTAGATCAAAATTCCTTAGGATCAAGGTATGTAGGAAATTCTAGTGACCAATTTTAGCTTTTTTTGCTATAGTTTATTTACTTCTATTGCCCCCTTTTTTGCTTCAACCTGCAGAGGGAAGAAGAGAAAATGAAGGTACCTGCTGTGCAGAGGTGGCTGTTGCACTGTTCCTTTGCTAAAGGTGGAGCTGCCCTTCAAGTGGTTTTGGGGGGTGGGTGGGCATCTTCCTCCAGACATAAGGCTGCATTAGGAAGCATGTTAGAAGCTGTTTCCAAGATCCCCTGAAGATGTTTGCAATGGCATGTGCACCCACACCTTCCAGGCCCTCAGAGGAGCAGCAGGTATAACAGGAATACTCGTTCCTTTCCTGAAGGACTAATAATCCTGCAGTGGCAGCAGCACAAACTCTTTAACAAAATTGGCTTCCTCATTTTTGCTTTTACACTGTGTGACTGAATAGAAGGTGTTGGCTTTGTGGCTTAATTTCTGGGTTCTCTTCCCTACTTCCTACAGCCACGATCTGGCTTTCCTTCAGGAACACAGGCACATGTGAATTTCTGTGTTTTAGGGCTGGTTTGTGTTTGCCGGAGTCGATTAAACAGAGTACTGATTAAGCTTTCCAAATAATCCACCTCCAGTTAATAAAACGTTACTGGAATTAGGAAAACACTGAAAGAGCCGAGAAACGCTGGTTCTGTGTTCATTTTTTTGAATAATTTGTATACCCAGGCCGCTATATTCAGGCAAATGTTAGTGATTGTTAGCAAAAAAACAAGCTTGATTTGTGACTCTAAGATTGCCTGAGCTGGAGGGTACCGTTCAGGCTGGCAAGTGGAGAGGGTCCCATGTGATCTTTCTAATCAAACGAACAGATGCAGCCCAGAGGAAAGATACAGCTGTTTATCCAGCTTGCAAGCCAAAAATTACACCTATTGTGCATAACATCAAGACCAAATTCATGATGGGGGAAAGAAGCTATTCTTGCAGCAGTCATGAGCAGAAAAGCTAAACTGAAATCTCTGTTCATGTGTCTTAAATCTTGGATGTTATGCCTCACTCCTTTTATAAGTAAATTAAGGAGGAGAGGTGTTCTAGCCTGGAACATATTGTTTGCATCAGCATGCCAATGGGATGTTGGTGGAGTGATAACAGATAAACTGCTTAGTGATTTTGAGAATAATGTTCACAATGTTGGACGGTCCCTTATAGCGGCATCTATTTACACACACCTGGTCTGGTGCTTTATAAACTCCCTTTTTCATAAATGTCTCCTGTCTGTTCAACTTCTTACCAGACTGGATAGCTTGCAACTCTAGGAAGGAGAAGATAAAGACCTTTAGAGTAAAGCTGCTTTCAGTAACCATCCTGTTATATGGAAGTGTAGTCAGTCCCTACAAAGCATGTGAGTCTGACATTGTAGACCTTTTCATCGACGATCTGAGTTTCCACAGGTAATGCTTTATGTTGCTGACTTAACCACTTTCCAGTTGAATCTTAGCCCAGGTACAATATTGGCTCTTGGAAGGGGATTAATTCCTGAAATCCTGGACGGACGCAACTAGAGACGTGCTTTCAAATCCCCTACAAATTGTCTTCCTTGTTTGCTAAGAGGTTAGTGGTTCCCTCTGGTAGATGCGAAGAAGCGTAGGACACAGCTGCGTGGGAAATTCATCTTTCCTCAGTGGTTTAGGAGTTAACATCTTTGTCCCGTGGCAGCTCCTGTGGCGTCTGGAACACAACAAGGTATTTAATGTTATTTCGTGGTTTGTTTATTTGAGTCTACAGCATGAGTAGGGTGTCTGTTCAGCAACAAATACTGTTCTGGACTTGGAAAACCTACCTGTAGTTCATAAAAATAGAAATGCTTAAACACATGTAAGGTCTGCCTCTATACCTTATGTTTTCCCCAGCTTTCTGAGAAGGGAACTATTTGCTTTTCCTGCAGTCTGTTGTATGCAAATAGGCCCTACAAACTGTTTCTACTCTTGAAACGGCTTTAAAACAGGAAAGCAAGCAAATAGAATGGAAGCAAAATGCGAGGACAGTCATACACTGTCAGACCACTAGGGAGAAGAAGTGTAAGAACAGGACATGTGTAGCATCGTCCTTTCCTGATGCTGCTCCTCAGCTTCAGTCTCACAGGGTTAAGGTTGCACCTGGATCATCCTGTCCAGCACCTGCCAGAAGCCTTTTCCTTGTGAACGCGTCAGTCCTGTGAATCAATTTGTATTGGTGATTTCCGGAGCCTTCTGCAGCAACACACTGTGCTCTTGAATCTTGTATTGTGTGGAGAAATGCTTAATTTTATTTTGAATTTGCTGTTGGGTCACTTAATTGGTACTGCTATGTTGTGACTTATGACAAAATGAAAAACTTATCTCTCTGTACCACTCAGGTTTTCTAGACATCTCTCTCTGGAAATTTCTTGTGTCTTTTTGGTCCCCCACTCAAATTTTTGGGTTGGTGATTTTTGGTTTGTGTTGTTTGTTTTTTTGTTTTGTTTTGTTTTTTTGCCTGGTCCCCCTGAAGAATCTTATTCCATCTGTTTTTTTCCTTGGGTACAAGGTGTTCCCTGCCCCTGGTTATACTTGTTACCTTTTGGGGCAGGTAGGTGGACCATTATATTCTTAAGATCCATTCTGTTTTGAGTTCAATGATACCCTGAAAACAATGGATCACATTCGGTTCTGATTTAGGAAAATACAGTAGGACAGATGAGTTCTCATTTTGGATTTGGTCTTACTGCTTACCAATGCACACCATCTTTCTAGGTCTTAAACGGAGGTATGCTGTATCCAAGATGTGGGAATGTATAGGGTTCTGAATGGTATCAGTGACATTCTCTGTTGTGTTCTTGATTTATTTCCTAATAACTGCTCTACCTATGTCAAGACATTCTTCCTAAGTGATAACGAGTATAACTGCGTATCAGACTGTAGTTGTATTTTCTCTGAGTGCAATACTTTTCACTTACTGTCATAAAATATATGGTATTTCATCACCTGTCTAGTCTGCATCATGAAGCACTCCTCCAACTTAATGAACACAGCTTTAGTTTTGAGAAGCCAGAATAGCTTTGTGTCTGTGGGCAGGCTCTTCACTCCTCTGGGCTTCTTTTCATTCATTCAAGGAGATGCTTGATACCAAACTTTCTGGGACAGATGATGCTGCACTGTTGTATTTTTGCAATGGCAAAAAAAACCCAGAACACATAACGCCCCCCAAAACAATCCAAACCTTGAAAGTAGCCAAAACGT